AAAAGCTCATTTTCGCCATTTTCATGCGCTGAAAAGCCCACCTATGGGTTCCTGGGTTCCTCATGACGAGAAGGCTCCGGGAACCTGAAAAAATGGAAAACCGAATTCTTCCGGGATGCTCCTTTGAGCTGTCTGGCGCTATATGAACTTCAAGTTCGCCAAATATCTTCAGGTAGTCACTTGGATCTCCCGCGTAATAGATCGCATCTGCTCAGCTGCTGGATTGGACCCTCGTCTAACAGAGCAGCTCACTCAAGTTATTCCGGGTTTCGTTGCTGTGCACATAGATAATCTGGAACAAGTTCATGCTGAAAGTAGAAAACTTGCTCCTCCACCTAAGGTCCGTTTGATGATGCAACTATATTATCTTTGAAGAGCATGTTTACAGTCTAAACTACTTACACCTGTACTACTTACACCATGCGAACGCATCATTGTTGGAGGTTTGCGGTGCGTGCTTCTTCCAGAAGGACGCCCTGCTAATACAGAAAATCCCGATAACAATGTGAATCTCCTTCCTGCTGAGGGAGCATTGTTCCTTACGAACTACCGTATTATTTTCAAAGGACGACCAACAAATCCTTTCCGTAAGCTTATTTACCTCTAATCATCCAAACCTTCTCAACGAGAATTCTTTGCAGTCACGGATATGGTGGTAGTTCGATCAGTTCCTGTGATGACTTTGACCAAGGAGAAGTCTATCGGTGATCAAAGCCTTCAGGCTGCTGGACAGTTGCATGGAATATCGTCGAAGGTATTACTTTTGCATCTGGTGGTATTATTGACAATGTTTTTGCTGCCAATGGCTTTCAACGCTGAAGATGTCGTCGAGAATTCATGGACTTTTTTTATAGATAGCCAGTGGCCTGCATGATGGACTTCAAATGCGAACTGCATGCTTTCAACTGCTCAAGGTCGCCTTTGATGAAGAGGTAAGGATAGAGGGGCCATTCTGTACTATATCATGCGGTATCATTCAAATTTTTTGTACATGCCTTAGGTTACTGGCGATGAAGTGGAAGCATTCACAAAGTCACTGTCAAGCCAGAGGTGGCCAAGCGTTCTACCTCATACTCTCTTTGCTTATAACACTGTTAGTCATCTCCTCACTTCCACGTTACCAAGTGGTCCAAAAAGCAAGTACAGTACCATTAGAGAACTGAAGAAAACGATTGCACGATTTCCAAAAAGTGAGTTTCCATGGGGTCGTATTGAGTCGAACATAACACTTTTTTTAATTTGGATGATTTTGTAGTTTGGGCGTTTGTTCAAGTAACTACTGATTTTTTGTAATTACC